GGATTTCGTACGATATACGTTAAACGTATTTTTTAAACGATTATTAAACGATTTATTAATATTACGTATCCGAAGACGTAAGTGTAAATCAGCGTGTAACGATTTTAAATCGATACTTCGAGGTGTATCGACGAGACACAAGATTTAGCAACAAGCACTTGATCAATTAAATTTTAAAACTTTATCAAACAATTGGTAAATTTTTCCTTCGTAAGACGTAATATTAGACCAATTTAAAGGAATTTTTATAAGAAATTAAATACTTGGGATTTGAATATATCATTATAATATCTGACATTCTAATTAATGGTGGGAAACTCTGATTTTGGGACAAGGATTCAAAATCATTTTAAAATTAAGATTTTGCTTCGAATTAAAATAAAACCTCAGTTGATTGCAAATTTAGTAATCAGCGTGTAATGATTTTAAATCGATGCTTCGATGTATATCGACGAGACACAAGATTTAGCAACAAGCACTTGATCAATTAAATTTTAAAACTTTATCAAACAATTGGTAAATTTTTCCTTCGTAAGACGTAATATTAGACCAATTTAAAGGAATTTTTATAAGAAATTAAATACTTGGGATTTGAATATATCATTATAATATCTGACATTCTAATTAATGGTGGGAAACTCTGATTTTGGGACAAGGATTCAAAATCATTTTAAAATTAAGATTTTGCTTCGAATTAAAATAAAACCTCAGTTGATTGCAAATTTAGTAATCAGCGTGTAATGATTTTAAATCGATGCTTCGATGTATATCGACGAGACACAAGATTTAGCAACAAGCACTTGATCAATTAAATTTTAAAACTTTATCAAACAATTGGTAAATTTTTCCTTCGTAAGACGTAATATTAGACCAATTTAAAGGAATTTTTATAAGAAATTAAATACTTGGGATTTGAATATATCATTATAATATCTGACATTCTAATTAATGGTGGGAAACTCTGATTTTGGGACAAGGATTCAAAATCATTTTAAAATTAAGATTTTGCTTCGAATTAAAATAAAACCTCAGTTGATTGCAAATTTAGTAATCAGCGTGTAATGATTTTAAATCGATGCTTCGAGGTGTATCGACGAGACACAAGATTTAGCAACAAGCACTTGATCAATTAAATTTTAAAACTTTATCAAACAATTGGTAAATTTTTCCTTCGTAAGACGTAATATTAGACCAATTTAAAGGAATTTTTATAAGAAATTAAATACTTGGGATTTGAATATATCATTATAATATCTGACATTCTAATTAATGGTGGGAAACTCTGATTTTGGGACAAGGATTCAAAATCATTTTAAAATTAAGATTTTGCTTCGAATTAAAATAAAACCTCAGTTGATTGCAAATTTAGTAATCAGCGTGTAATGATTTTAAATCGATGCTTCGATGTATATCGACGAGACACAAGATTTAGCAACAAGCACTTGATCAATTAAATATTAAAACTTTATCAAACAATTGGTAAATTTTTCCTTCGTAAGACGTAATATTAGACCAATTTAAAGGAATTTTTATAAGAAATTAAATACTTGGGATTTGAATATATCATTATAATATCTGACATTCTAATTAATGGTGGGAAACTCTAATTTTGGGACAAGGATTCAAAATCATTTTAAAATTAAGATTTTGCTTCGAATTAAAATAAAACCTCAGTTAGTAATATTCGAATCAGTTTTCTTCAGCCTACGGTATCGAATATTTTACGAAATTTTAATCGCTTTGTGAACCTTGATTTACCTACACGTCTGTATAGTAAATTCACACAAGAGACGATGATTTCGTGAAAGTGTTAAATAATTCATTTCTATTGCACAACGTACGAATTGATTTTCTAAACAGTCAAATGATTTCTAAACACGGTCCGCATGCAAATATGCTTCACGATTATGTATTTTGAATTTGTCACGATAAATTATTTGTTTTTGCCGCCTTAACGCGTACGTAAGCAAAACTTAAGAATTGCGAAACTGTCTGCCGGTGATTTATTTCTCTCTCGGGCGTATTTAACCAATTCGTGGCAATTAACAAATTAGGATACGTCATTTAAGTCCACGTGACCGTGAAAACAATGGCATCGCGGATGAGAGGAATTGCTATAAATGGCTACAAGCATGAGTCGGTCATGGTACAAATAGTTTCTTATTTTCTTTAACACTTTTGCATCGGGAGTGTAGTCAACGGAGAGCAATTTGCGATAACGGGTCTCCGAGAATGATCGTTGTTCTTGAAATTGGATTTGAAAAACAAACTCCAGAGACCCGTCGAACATTTCCATACGTCAATATTTCGTTTTAGGAAGTTGTAAATAATTTTCGAGCAATTCGCGTTGCATAAATACGTCGTTCAGACAACAGTTAGGTCAGGAATTAGGCTGGCCAAGGTTCCATCGTTACGTCTTTGCGGTCGTATATTTTACTTTTTTTATCCAATGTTATGGAATACTAACTGTTTTTTTTAATATTACTAATAAAAATCCCCCATTAAAGAAACGAATTCTATGGACATTATTGTACCAATTGTTATAGCTATTTTAGTAGACATAGTCACCTGACAATAGATAATACATTTTTAAAAGAATTCGATTTCCAAGAATCGACTCGATTTTCATTTGTGAAACCTTATTTAAAAAACGGTTTACGTTGCAGACGATAAAAACGTTTTTCAGACAAAAGGAAAAAATCGTACGTGTCTCGATATAACCGGAGGATTAGAACACTTTAGCGTCTGTGATCAACCAGGCAGAACTTTTCCCATACTGCAACGGTTGAGGACACTTCTAATTGTGTTTCTCGAATTAATACGCGTGAATATAAACCACTTAAAATAAATTTATTACGATGACTTTCATTTTACGATTTTACCCAGATTTATGTTCGTAAATATAGAAAGAAAAAACGGTAGTCTAGATTCGAGATGAAGCTTTGAGACTGTTGCAAGATTTGATTATCAGGAACACTATAAAATAATAACATTCCAATTGTGCACGTTAGAATTTGAATAAATATTAAGGACAATAATAAATTGAAAGATTAAATTTCCTAACAATTATCCCTGTTTCAGTGTATCAAATCTTTTAATTAGTATTGGTAAAAATGTTTTAGAAAATTAATAAACACAACTTAAGATCTGTGACACATAATGAAAACAAAGACTTTTCAACGATTAAAGAAAAGGAAAAAATAATTATGTAAATTTAAACTTTTCATTCATGATTACATTTAATTTATTATTATACATGTTGAAAAGAAACTTGGTAGAAAACATGTCTAAAGTTGTATTTAATACGATTAACAGTTTTGCTTCTGTTTTATTTTCGAAAATTGATAAAAAATGCAAACTCTGCGTTCTATATTTTTTACGGAAATTTGAAACCAGGAAATTATGATGTAATGCAAACATATTGCAACTCGATAACCTGTATGTACAGGATCAAATATTTTATTCATCGTTACCTGCCCAAACGCTTTTACATTGCAACAAATACTGATTACCAGTCAGTGACTTATTACGTTGGTGAATGCAAACATATTTCTTATGTAATGCACTTTGCGTCATAGCCATTGCCGTGGGTGAATTTTTAATAAAAGTTCTGGAACAACTGTTTCCACGTAACTTTCATCAAAAGAATTCTACAATATTTGTTACAATAAATATTTATACAAAAAGGTGTATGCCAGTTGTAAAAATTTGTATTCGTAAAACTGTATAAAAATACAAGAATGGATATTACTTTAAACGAAATATAAAATTAAAAATAAAAATAATTTTTATATTTTCAAAACGATGGATACCTTATAGAACGATTTTTTTTTTTTTTGAATAGACGTTTTTTTTTATCACGTTATGCAATATATTTTCGGTTTTATTTGTTTACAATAAATTGGACAGTTCCTTGAAATGTTTTATTTAATTCGTGGCATTCGATTTACTTATGTATTCGCAGTTGTAACTACTTAAGTGTGTGCGAAAGTTTATTAGAAGGCCTATAATCCTACATAAAGGCGGATGATGCTTTCTCTGTGCGATTTCAACTTGTATTATCAAGCGATCGATTAACTAATCCGATCTGTATTAAAGTTTCGTATATACATATACAATTATCATCTTAAGTTTAACTAATTTCTTTTTTTATAACTTTCCAACTAATTTCTTTTGCATATACTTTCCTTTACATATAAAAGAAATTTTCTTTTACGTATCGATAACAAATTAGATCAACGTGTTGTTTCAATTTTATTAAAATCATTACAGCTATCCTGAATAATAATGAACGCTCAAGAACGAGATTGATACAAGATACCATGTGAGAATGCAGATAAAAATTATAATTCGCCTCGAGCAAGAGAATTGCTATGCTAAGTTACAATGAATTGCATCTTGATTAAGAGATAACGCTCAGATTGTTTTCATAGCATTACTGTCGCGTTAGTAATTACTTATGTACAACTCTCTCCGATTTCGCGGAACGTTAGTTTAGGAATAGACGCATCTACTACTATAACACAGTCGATGCACGACTTTTTTTATATTTTATTTAATTATTTATTTATTACTGGGTAAAAGATCCACTGATTTACAAAAATTATTTGTATAGTACGATATATAGAATTTACAATAACATAAACAATTTACTCATTCTTCTTCTCTTTATTAGGAATGTTGGTGAATTTATTTTTAGTATTTTTCTACGATTTTACTCTCGTTATAATGTACCATTTATTACTTTTAGTATGGTTTTATTAAACCCTCGAATTATTCTACTTGAATAACATAATTTTCATAGATTTAATGTCATACGATACTTTTTTCTGTAGTACGAAAAATAAAATTCGATTCCCTTAACCTTAAATCAACTAAAAATTTACCGAACGTCATAAGTTGTCAAATTGTATTTTCCCCATTAACAAAGTGGATCATTTTATTATCCATTCAACGTTGACAATCGACAATCAACATGAAAATGTTGCATACATAAATACCTGGTATCAATGTCACATTACAACCAACAGTGAACCACAGTAGTTCCTCGTGAAGCCATTATGGCCAGTAGCGTGTCTGCTGGCGTGCCGTTTTTATTTTGAACGACACGATCGTTTCTGTTTCGTTTCTTTTTGTTCCAGGCACACGCGCGGATCGTTCACTAAACGTATCACGACTAGAACTTTTACGGCGAAACTTGCAGTAGCACGTGCGGGCGTGTAGTGTGCCCAGAGGTATTCGAGAAAATAAAACAAAAACTGAAGGTTATACGCGTTAGAAACTTGTTTTCGTTCGAAAGCTGAGGTTACGTTCGCTCGGGAAAGTGATCCCGCGTTGTTTTCGTTCGATTCTTTATCGAGGTTCAGTTGCAAATTGAACGGAAAGCTTTATAAACGTTCGAACGTCGTAAACGTCACTGTATGTGTACTTGTCTGAGGGGAACGCTCACCTGAGCAGAAACTTGACAGCCGAGAATTCGCCTTTGCGCGGTGCGCTGACGCGTCTGCGCATTAATACCCATCTCTCCTAAAACATCGTCACGTGTTTGTGAGTCAGTTCGCGTTACACGTTTGTTGCTGAATAGTAGTAGCGAAGCTACTGCCTCTCATCATGTGTTAAAACGCGATAAAAATTAAGAGGGGACGGTAGAATGGGATACGTTATTAAGAATCCATAAATATCCTAGAAATAAGTGAATAACCTGATTCGACTAGACTTTCCTTACGAAATTTCATCGGTAAGTTCTCGATCCTCTAACGCAATACGATATACATGTAATCCAATGCAGTAAAACCTGTTCTCCAGTCTGGGATTTTTGTTTTCACAATTTTTCAAATTTCTTTCTTACAATTTCTACAGAATCTAACATATTGACCGTCAAACAGATTTTAATACGTAGTTTTCGACGGAATGAAATTAATATAAATGGTTAGGATAAACACGATTATTAGATTTGTTCGAACGATTTAAAAATCTCCTCTTCGACAAGAGGTTGAAAACAAACGCACGTTAGAATCGAAGTGCTGAAAATTCAATACTATTATGTCTCTTAGACGGGAATCAGATTACAAAATAGATTGTAGTACGATCTTGAGTGTCATTAACGCGTAATGTAACTTTTTTCAACGCGTATGTAAATATGTACGTTTATTATAGGATTTATGTATTAACGAAGTGATTAGACAAAAAAATCAATAAGAAAGGTGCTTATTATTTTTCAATTGAAGATAGAGTGGAGTAAAAAACTATATAATGTACGATAATTTGATGATTTTTAAAATTTTTTACTTTGCTCGCGCGTCAGTTCAGGGACATTTGTTATTTCTGTTTTGAAGGAAATCGAATGGAAGGTAATAATAGTGACTCGAAGTTTTGCAAAAAAAAAAATTTGTTGAAACCTGTGATTGGTAGAGTGAATTGAATAGATGAACTTTGTGGCTACAGGATACGTTACATTGATATTGAACTAACAAGTGCAGGCGTTAGGTCATTTTTTGCCCATCTTTTACTACGTAGTTTCTCACCCCAAGTTGGGCGACTTTTTAGTTTTAAAACCTGTTTCTTCGGAGGCGAAATTGGTCCTGGACGTAATATCACGCAACTATAGTCTATGCTGCTTAGTAATAGAATTATTAGTAGATTAATATTATTATTAATAATATTAATAGAAATATATTCGAGTGCAGTTTCATGTTAATAAATATATTTCGATTTACGATTATTGCATACGATAAATTTAAAAAATATTTATTTAGCCTAAGTCTAATTAATATTATATTAAATAATTTATCATATCAGCACTATGTAACAATCACGATATAAAATTATTGTTGCTGGCTATAACAATAATATGCGATGAAATTAATTTTTTCAAGGATTCCTTGATTTTTTAACTGATAACATGATCACACATACATACTTAAAATTCATACCAAGGTTATAATAGAGAAAATAATATGAAACGATAAAAAGTGTACAATTACTTCGTGGATAAATTTTATAATAAGTTTATTTGATGGAAAATTGATTTTTGCACGGTAGTTAATATCTGACATTTTTTATTATAGTTATATAGAAAGAAATATGTTTACTTGTAAGTGGCGGTAATTTCGAGCATTTATTATAAAAACCATCGTAACCTTGGTGCGACCTTGACGTTATGTGACCATTTTATTCGTCAAGAGTAATCACGACGAATTCACTTCATCATACAAATAGACATTCAAAAATATAAATGTCATATTTTGTTCAGTTTGATGATTCATCCTGTAGACATAGAATAAAAATAACATTCTAAATTAAATTTTACATACAAATTGCTAAATTTGTATTATTGTATAATTTCTGCAGTTTCCATGTTTATTTAAATTAAAACTATTCGATCATGTACATTTAACAAGATGTTTAATGTAAATAGCTGCTTTTATTACATAAATGTTTATAAAATACTGAAACAATTCGTCAATTTTTATATTATTACATAAAATATACATTATAGTCAGGTATATTTATTAAATATTCAGCAATGCTTTGTAAAATACGTATTTATACTATTTGTGTTATACAAACCAAATATGGAGTAAAGATCCAGCTATATTAAATGTATATTATATTTTTCAATTCTGATTTTGGAAATTCATAGAGGAAAAATGTAGTCTATTATATTCTATATCTAATATGGAAGGAATACTTTTTCAGAAAGAAATCAACAAAAATTTTACGAAAATTTGCCGTTTGTAAAATAATGATAATAATGATTTTGAAAAAAAAAAAAAAATTAACAAAATGCTGACAATATTAAATAGTTTTCAATGTATGAATTATAAGTATGAGTTATAAAAAAATTTTTTAAATTTTCCAGAATGAAAATTGCTTTACAAAAATAACATTAATTGCTATATTTACCAGTTACGGTGTTACACAATGAGGCCGGTAATCGCGTGGATCGTTAGGGTAAGCTCAGTTGCATACTTTACTAGTCAAAGATCTTTCCTACGTGGCTGGCTACTATCTTGCATTTTGTTTCCGTTCTCTTACATCATAGTCAAGCATACTATCGCATACTTGCCACAAATGGAATTCATGTGAATTCACGTCTATTGTTAGAGCAATCAAGCCAGAAAATAGTATCGCCATTAAATCGCATTGTAAATCGAACGAACGAATAAAAAGTCATTTACGATTACCCACTCCCGCCGAGTGATTCGATTCTTTGGTAGTTAACATCCGGTTGCATCGTACGCGAAGCATTTTCTGCGGACAAATTTATCTTGTATCAAATGCTACTCGATTACAGTTTCAACCCAAGACAGAATTTCCGACTGACGACTAATAGAGGAAAGTAATTGGGAAAAACTGATGCAGGAAAATCAGTTCGCATAATATTGGTTTTCCTATTACGTGAAGCAATATTGGCAACGATACCACGGATTGTCCTAAAGTTAATGCAATCAGTGAATTGTATTACCTTTTCAAATCCCGGAGAACAGTTCCTTCAACGACACAATAGAAAACTTCGTGGAATGGTTTCTACGTCTCTTATTCTTCTATTGTTACACCTTCAATTATTTATATACAACTATCATTATCAGTAATTGTAATGGCTCAAATGTTGGTAAATTTCCAATCATGTAATTCTATTTTTATACTTGAAATACTTGAAATTTCATTTTTCTACATATTTGTTGATATTTCAAGTAACATATGCTTTACAATACCATTTCTTTATACTCGGGACTAAATGGCGAACGAAATGAGCACAACTGTATAATTTCTTATAATATTAAAAAATCACTTTTGACAAATTCTATATAAATGCAGTAAATAGTTTTAAAAATAGAAGTTGTTTAACTTTTCTATTCTATTTAATTTAACTCGACCATTTTTTAAATACAATTAAAAAATGAAAAAATCATATTTCGAAAATTTTTAGTGACATAGTAGATAGAAGACATATGTATTTAATAAATAATCGGAGTAGCGAATTTTCAGGCAATAGAAAGTTTTCTTGATGATGATGAAAAATGAGGAAAAAGAAGATTTTATTTTTTTTCACTGCGACGCACCAAAATGAAAAGTCTGAAAAAATTGAGAATAATAGTAATAGCAATGCCTGTTTACTGTAAAAGTATAAAAGTAGTTCCGGACCTCCTTCAATACGTAATCGACATTTTTCGGCATTTTTTGCGGTTTTTTATTTTTTACTCCCTGGTTCTTCGATCAAGAAATCTGAAAATCTCCTAAAATATGTGCCACGGTACCCGAAATGTCTCTGAATTTTTTTACATTTTTTTACTCGATAGGTCAAGAGAAATTGTACAAAAAACATGATTTTCGTTTTCACCCCATTACCACCCCCCCACGGTCGAGATTTCGAGTTAAAAATTGGCACACAGGGGTTTTTTTGGATAACCTATCGAATGACGTTCGTTCAATTCGGTTCGAGGGCACGTTTGAACCCCTTATTCGAAGACTTTTTCGACAAAGTCACGTTTCCACATCCGACAACATAAAAAAACGGAAAAAACCCTAGCTGATCGAACGGAACAGGTATACATAACGGAGTAAAATCTCGCATTCCGATGTATAATCTCTTCCGTTCATTAACACTCTAAACGAGTAACTAGAGCTGTGAAAAAATAGTAATTCTAAACACGCGTAAGTACCACTACCACGAATAATTTACCCAGTCACGAGTATCTACGAGTAGGTAACAAATGTGTAACGGAACTTGATCACGTTACACGAATTGAATTGCAAGTTCTTGCGATTGTAATTTATCGTCGCATTATATCTTCGAATTACATACGCGACAGGTATTTCCTTCTAATTGCAGTAATTTCACACAATCATCCGTTTTATTCAATTAATATTCGTCGCAAATACACGCTACGTACAATAATACTTTTATTGGTAAGGTTTTTTTCCAAATACGATTGCATGAAGTGTTCTTACACGCGATTAACACGTTGACTGGCAGTCTAAAATCCTAACATTGTTTACGGGGACCAAAACTTTCGTTTTAGGCAATTGTAAAGTACACAACTTAAAAGTTGTCGTAGTAGTTGCTTTCGTACACCTTATTAAAATTTATTTTCTTTAACATTTCAACTTGAGAATTCATTATTACAGTTCTACTGTTAAAAGTTCTGTCACCCATATATGGGTCTCGTGGCGTCCTTTTACTGCAGTAATTTCACATAATCATCCGTTTTATTCAATTAATATTCGTCGCAAATACACGCTACGTACAATAATTCTTTTATTGGTAAGTTTTTTTTCCAAATACGATTACATGAAGTGTTCTTACACGCGATTAACACGTTGACTGGCAGTCTAAAATCCTAACATTGTTTACGGGGACCAAAACTTTCGTTTTAGGCAATTGTAAACTACACAACTTAACAGTTGTCGTAGTAGTTGCGTTTGTACATCTTA